TTCTCTCAAACCCTTTCCTTCAATTTCACAGAGGTCGCTGTCTCTCCATTGCTCTATTTCCGCCCACTGGCTGCTCCTGGCCTCACTTCCTTCCCTCGTCAGCCTGCATCCCATGGCAGATCACCCCAACTTCTCTCTCTCCTCCTCTCCAGCGCTGTCATTTCCTCTGCACTGTTCTATTTTGCCACCAACATTCCAGCCCTGAATTAAGGTTCAAAGTCTAACTTTCTTGATCATTTGGCTAAGTCGGTAGAAAAAAAAAAAAATCACACGACAATGTGTATTTTGGTGCCACTTCAGTTTTGATTCTCAAAAAATCACTTTGCCTCCTACTTAATTACGAAAGGTGAGGCAATTGCATGTAAGTTCCCGCAACACCGCACCTCCCTACCCACAAACTTTCCATAATTACACCATCTTGATCTCATCTCGGTTTAACAGATAAGCCGTCCTTCCAAAATTTGAAGCCAATCTCTACCTGTGCTAAGTCCTTCCCATCCTGCCCTATGCAGCACTTTGTTCCATCTGCCACTCCGCTCTCTTCCAAACCGTCCATCTCTCTCTCTGCTAGATCCTTTCTCAACTACAAACATGTTGAAATCTTACCCATCCTTAAAAAAAAAACCCTTTAGTTCCCACACTTTTACTCCCCCTCCTTCCTCTCTCCCCTATTTGTTTTAGAATAGTCTCCTTTCAAGGAGCCTATTTCCTCTTCCTTCCTCACCCCCCTCCATCAGCTTCTGTCCTTCTACTTTACTGAAAATCATCTGACTAGTCACCAATGACCTCCTCATAACTAAGCCCAACTATTCCCAACACACCTCACTGCCGCATTTGCCAGGCAGCCTCCCTCCTTAGTAGAATATCAACGACTGCCCTGAACACTACCAACCTGGACGGAGCACTTGCTCTGTGCCAGGCTCTGTACTAAGACGTCTACATGCATTACCTCATTTAATTCTCGCCACACGCTTACGATGCACGTGCTTTAGTTTTTCAAATCAGTGAACTGACACAGGGAAGTAACTTGACCAAGGTCATGCAGCTAGTGGCAGGTGAAGACGGCACTCCAACCCACGTCTTCCTGTCTTCAAAGTCCATGGGCTTAATGGATGTTTAACGCACGCCATGACTTCTGGACTCCCTTGGCCTTGGGGTACACTCCCTTTGGTTCTCTTAAGACTCTGTCCTCTACTTCTGAACGCTGATGTTCACTAAGGTTCTATTTTCAACCCACGGTTCTTCTCACTCCCCAAGGGATTTCAGTCACTTTCATCTCGGGAACTCGCACCCACATGCTGATATTCCCAAATGTGTGTCTGAGCCGTCAAGCTGCAGACCCTTTCATCCAACAGTCTGCTGGGCTTCCCCGTTAGGATGTCTGTCTTCGTTTCAAGTCCAAAGCTGAACTGAGCTTCCCTTTGAAACTGTTTCCTCCTTTTCTTTGTCACAAACATCAGCCAAGCTAGACCTGGATGTATTCCTAAGTTCTTCCTCACCCTCATTCTCCACATGCTAACAGTCACCCGATATTCCTGCTTGTACCCCTTCAATAGTTGACCTTTCTACCTCTTTACCATGACCCTGGCTCTGGCACCAAATTATTTTGCCTAGAGGACACGCCTATAAGACTCTCCCATCTTCTTCTCCATTCCTCTGGTCAAATCTATCCTTCACACAGATGATAAGTGCTATCAATAAAACACAAATATGACAATATCACTCTGGTGAATAAAACATTTCTGGACCCCAGCCCCTTACAGAACAATGTTTGAGCTCTTTAATCTACCTTTTTACAATCTGAAGCCTACCTATTTGGTCATGGCAGCTAACATTTATTGAGAGATTACTATGTTCCAACCTTATTTTTTGCCACACGTCTGTCAAACAAAACCAAATTACTACAGTCCTCTCCAGATACCTTGTTTTTCCCCACACACCAACTATTCCCATTGTCTAGAAGGCCCTCACCCCTCCCAGCACCTTCTCCAGTCTAATTCCCTCTGATCCTAGGAGATTTGATTGAAATATAGATTGTCATGTCCCAGCCATGGAAACTGGTGGGTCTAGGGTAGGGCCCAATACTGTGCTGTTAGAATGCAGCAATTAGTTTCCATGGTTGGATAACAAGATTTTTGAACCATGGCTTCAGAAGGGTATAATACAAGTCTTACAACTTCAGGAAGCCCTGGACCTCATCACCACAGGCTCATCCCTTGTGATCAGATCAATTTCTATGCACGTCTCTATCACTATACTTTCCACACTGTATATAAATATTATTACTCTAACCTACCTCCCTTACTAGGCTGTGAGCATCTTGAAGACAAAGACAGCGTTTGGCGCTTCTTTGTACTCCCAGTGATTAGAACAATCTCCCAAATTAGCACAGTTTCCACTCCATAAAAGCTTCATGGCAGCTAAATGGTATGCAAAAATGACAGACAGATGGTAGGATGGAGGGGAACGAATACTGCCCCCCTTTGTTGTTGGCTGTGTAATTGACAGAGTGTTATTACCTGTGGAGCAGAGCTCGATAAGCAGTAAAATATGGGACACCGATGGCAGCTCCTTGTTTAAAGTCCAGTTTTTCTGGTAGTGTGTGAACAGTGTCATCTGCTGCAACTGCGTACTCTGCATAGGCCCCAGAGATCGTATTGGTAGTGAAAACTCTGTCACCTTTCTGGGAAAATAATAAATTGATATGTGCACCAGGGATTAAAAATGATGTCACAATGGGTATGATCTTTTATCGTGCAAACTTTATAACAAGAAATATGTCTACATTGTTTTCAACATCTTAGGGTCTCAAAAATAATTGTAAAATGCTGAACGTTTTTAATTGTCTTTTTTTTATTAAAGGGAACCAGTGTGAAGAAAAAATTAAGATAAACAGTAAACGTAAGAGGAAAGACACCTTCCGGAATGGTATAATGATGATAATGAAAACTAACCCTTATTGAGAGCTTACTGTGCTGGGCAGTGTATTAAGTGTCTCATGAGTATTGTCTAGGTTTATCTTCGTAACAGCTGAAGGTATCTTTTATTAGCTCCATTTTCGACTAATCCCACTATACAGATAAGGAAATTGAGGCCAAAAGAAGTTCAGTAATTTGCTCACATCAAGCATTTAGTAAATGACAGTTAATAAAACCTTTTTTTTTTTTTCTCAAAATACTAGGGAGAAGAAACAAATCAACTGTAAGCTGTCTTCCACCCAATTACCGGCTCAAATCCTTTCTATAGATTAATTCATCCCTGTATTTCCCTCATTTTTCATGCATTGACCAAAAAGTAAGAAACTATGACTGAATCCTGATAGCAGGATGAGCCAGGATTGGTTTCTTTACTTGTCACAGAACCATAAATAGCAAACTCTCAATAAACGTCTGTGTGGCCCTTACTATTGAAAAGCAGATGCTGAGGCAGACGTAAGGTACTCAGCAAGCATCACAGGACCACCTGATGTGACCTGCACACTAGGGAAATTAGGCTGCCTGCTACAAACACCTGCTCTAACCTCTCTTTCTTGAAAAAAAAAAAC